GAAGAGTGTAAATCACTCTGGGCGGTGGTTTGGTGCTACCTCTTAAGACTGGAGGGGTAGGTGTTCTTGGGTTCTGTTGCTTAGACTTCTAGACCTGGATACTAGGGGACAGATTCAAAAATAGTCACTGTAGCCAGTTTTTTGTTTGTTTGTTTTAGATGTTAACTTGTCCTTGTTTACAAAATTTTACATATAGCAATCTCCAGAGACACTACAAAAACTTATTAGAACTAATTGTTTGTATTGAGGAAACTCAAAGCATGCAAAACATTATAAAACAGTAACATTTCTATATCTTGACAAATGGAACATGCCATTAAATCATGCATTTTAAATGTGTGGATTGTATGGAACATGAACTATATCACAGTGAAAGTGGTATAAAATTTTATTTTAGTTTCCATTCTACAGAGTGTAACATGTGGTTGACTCATGCCTCTCACCATAAGTGAATGTCTTTATCATCTTGAACAATGTAACAACTTCACAGCCCCCTCACTCCAATCATTCTTCTTCGCAGTGCTGTGATGCTCATGTCTGTATTGAATTCCTTAAATATTTTTTTATCTTACCCTGAGATTTGAAATCCTATGGATGGGCCCTCGGGGGAAAATCTACAACTATTATTCAACTAAAGGAGCACAGAAATAAAAGAGTCCTGTGCCTCTGTATAACGTATACTGATGTCAGTAGAATGTATACTGATAGGCCAGTGCACTGCTCAGCCCTCCCCAGAGAAGCTTCTTCCCGCAGGTGATGGGAATGAACAGAGACCCACAGCTGAGACCCACAGCTGAGACGAGGTGTAGAGAGTGCGAGACTTGGGAGTGCTTAGCCCTAAATGAGGCATCTTTATCCAGCCCTGGCCCTCGGAGCTCAGCAATCTCTATTGAAGAGGAGACAGAAAGATTGTACAAGCCCGAGCCATGATTGACTCCAAGGGAAAGTGTCTTCCAGACACAACAGGACTGAAACACAAGCTTGCGGAGATTCTGAGAGTGCACACAAGGCCTGCACAGACCTGAGCCTGGCAAAATCCCCAGCACTGAGAAGGGGAAGTGGACACCGAGTCCTACCCATAACCGAGAAATTATTTGCGATTGATATCTATCGGAAAAGAGAAAACCAGTTTTCTCTAGTAGAGCATCACTGTGTATATCAGCCATGCTGCAGGGCAGGTCCAGAAAACAGACTCCTGTTTTTTGTATGTTTTTGCTTTGCTTGTCTTTTTTTTTTTTCTTACATTGAGCTATATATTTTTCTCCGCTCCTCTCCCTTCCTCCTTTCTCTTCTGCCTTCTCATGCTCCCAATTTACTTAAGAGATCTTATCTATTTCTACTTCCCACGTACATTAGATCCATGTGTGTCTCTCATAGGGTACTCTTTGTTGTCAAGGTTCTCTGGAGTTGTGGCTGGTTTTTCTTTGCTTTATGTTTAAAAACCACTTATGAGTGAGTACATATGATATTTGTCTTCCTGGGTCTGGGTTACCTCATTCAATATGATATTTTCTAGCTCCATCAATTTGCCTGCAAATTTCAAGATGTCATTAGTTTTTCTGCTGTGTAGTACTCCATTATGTAAGTGTACCACATTTTCCTTATCCATTCTTCGGTCGAGGGCCATTTAGGTTGTTTCCAGGTTCTGGCTATAACAAAGAAAGCTGCTATGAACATTGTTGAGCACATGTTCCTGTGGTATGATTGAGTATCCTTTGGGTATATACCCAAAAGTGGTAGTGCTGGGTCTTGAGGAAGATTGTTTTATAATTTTCTGAGAAATCGCCACACTGACATCCAAAAGAGCTGCACAAGTTTGCACTACCACCAGCAATGGAAGAGTGTTCCCTTTGCTCCACATCCTCTCCAGCATAAGTTGCAATCAGGGTTTCTGATCTTGGCCATTCTTACAGGTGTAAGGTGGAACCTCAGAGTTGTTTTGATTTGCATTTCTCTGATGACTAAGGATGTTGAACATTTCCTTAAGTGTCTTTCAGCCATTTTAGATTCCTCTGTTGAGAGTTCTCTGTTTAGGTCTGTAACCCCATTTTTTATTGGATTATTTGTTCTTTTGATGACCAATTTCTTGAGTTCTTTGTATATCTTGGGAACCAGCCCTCAACCAAGGTAGGGTTGGTGAAGATCTTTTCCCATTCTATACGTTGTCATTTTGTCTTGTTGATGGTGTACTTTGCTTTACAGAAGCTTTTCAGTTTTAGGAGGTCCCATTTATTAATTGTTTCTCTCAGTGTTTGTGCTGCTGGGGTTATATTTAGGAAGTGGTCTCCTGTGCCAGTGTGTTCAAGTGTACTTCCCACTTTCTCTTCTATGAGGTTCAGTGTGGTTGGCTTTATGTTGAGGTCTTTGATCCATCAGGACTTGAGTTTTGTGCATGGCAACAGATATGTGTCTATTTTCATTCCTCTACATGTTGATATCCAGCTATGCCAGCACCATTTGTTGAATATGCTTTTTTCTGTTTGATATTTTTTGCTTCTTTGTCAAAAATCAGGTGTTCAGGGGCTGGAGAGATGGCTCAGTGGCTAAGAGCATTGCCTGCTCTTCCAAAGGCTCTGAGTTCAATTCCCAGCAACCACATGGTGGCTCACAACCATCTGTAATGAGGTCTGGTGCCCTCTTCTGGCCTGCACACATACATACAGATAGACTATTATATACATAATAAATATTTTTTTTTAAAAAAATCAGGTGTTCATAGGTGTGTGGATTGATATCTGGGTCTTCTATTCGGTTCCATTGGTCCTCCTGTCTGTTTTTAAGCCAATACCAGGTTGTTTTTAGTACTGTAGCTCTGTAGTAGAGCTTGAAGTCAGGGATTGTAATGTCTCCAGAAGTTTCTTTATTGTACAGGATTGTTTTGTGTTTTCAATGATGAAAATTTGTCAGCTACCTAGCATGGGCAAAGTGGCATTGAGGGCCATTCAGCTGCAGCTTACAGGCCAAGGTGCCTGCATCTACAAACAGAGAACCGTCAAAAGCAGGCTGTGGAACACTGTATAGTGTGTTTATCATCTTCCTCACACCAGAAAACTACCCATGTGTTGCATGTACATTCGCAGTCTGCAGTACACATGAACAATAACAGAGCCAAGATTACTGATTACTCAAAGGGATCAACATCAGGAGTGAGGGAAATTGCAGTAAGGAAGGGAGCATGGGACTTAATGTTTCCCTCAATTAAAATACATCTGATTTAAATATAGAAAAACATTAAGCATATCATAAAGCTATATGGTAAGTATACTAATGTTCATTTTAGAATGCTCTCATTTTCTATAAGCTAAAAAAGTTTAGCCAGCAAGTGGTTTTTACTCTCTAAGCTTTCATTTCTCCCAAGATATTAGCTGAAAAGAATAAACCTTCCCATTGCTGTTGGAAGGTTGAATAGCTTAGCCCGCCGCACACAGTGATCCCTCTGATACATGTGCGCTGGGTCTCTGCTGTGTTGCTGACTCTGCTGGGCACAGAGTGAGGATGGGGGAATTCTACAGCATCCTCCTCTTCTCTTCTCTTCTCTTCTCTTCTCTTCTCTTCTCTTCTTCTCTTCTCTCTCTCTCTCTCTCTCTCTCTCTCTCTCTCTCTCTCTCTCTCTCTCCTCCCCCTCCACAGTTTTGCTTCTATGTTTATCCTCTGGAGCACGACACCCTGGCACGGAACCGCTTGTTGCCCAATCATCCTAATGATGGGTTTTAAAGGACACAACAGGCCTTGCTAAGACAGGGTCTTCATTCATTCGGGTACTCAGAGCACCACAGCAGGATGGTAGGCAGGGGCATGAGCTCTACAGAGTTCCTGTTTGAAGAACGATTGAAAATTAACACGCCTGTTGGGTGTGTCCCAGGGTTTTCCACTCTCGTTGATCAGTTCGTGGATGTTTCATTCCGTCCATGTTGGCTTAGACCAACATCCTAGCAAATAAAACAATTTCTTCATTAGGAATGATCTGAGTATTGGATGCTATCCTTTGACTGTTTGTTTACTGTAACTGGATGAATCAGCCATTGTATAGATAACTAGTTACTACTTACTAAGCACCTGCTGTATACTTATCTCCTTCTGCAATGTGAGCGTCACTGTCTTCCTTTCAGAGAACATCACATTACATGAGGTCTGCCCCTTACCTGAGTGGCGTTGCATGTTTCCGTGAGGTCTGCCCCTTACCTGAGTGGCGTTGCATGTTTCCGTGAGGTCTGCCCCCTTACCTGAGTGGCGTTGCATGTTTCCGTGACTCCCAAGGCCCATGCTCTCCCTTTGGGAGAAACTGCTATTTCCCTCCTGTGGCTGAGATGCAGATTAAACACAGTAACCTACACGGGCTGATACAGTGTTGCCACACAGCACTCACTCAATCTAACTCGGTTTCTCTTAACAGAATTAGGCAGGGTAGGTTGAACCACAGACATCACAATGTCGTCTGTGCAGGGTGGATTTAGACCTCGGAGACTGTTGAACCCAGACATTGGTACACGGGATGGTCTTTAACCGTTCGCTTTCCTTTGTAATTATCTACACTCAAAATGCGGAGTAATCCTTGAAAGCCCCATTGCTCCCCCCCCCCCGTACCTTTTCTGAACAAGTCTCAAAAAGCATTTAGGGAAATAACTCTTGCAATTTTACTATTTTAATTCTGCTCCTGGGGTTACATCAGGTCCACTGGTAGACACCGTGAACTAAAAGGCACCTTCCCTGCCGTGCACGCTCTTAAGGATCTGCCTCAGAAAGAGTGGAAATGGACACTGGGGCTGCCGGGAACTGGAGGAGCAGGCACCTTTGGAAGTGGCCCGGCAATGTGCCATATGCATGGAGGGGAATGAATGGGCCTGGCTGGGAATATAGGCAAAGAACAGAGCGCTCTAGCCACCAGGGCGGAGATCCTGCGGGAAAGGAATGACTTCCTGAGCATGCGCTCGTGCAGTCGGCCAGGTGGGGGAATGCACAGGTGGTCTGACTCCCTTCTCCATGTGATCTTTTCTCCCCAGGGTCTTTCCACCTAATTCACTTGATGTTTGACGACTACGTGCTCTATTTGCTAGAGTCTCTGCACTGTCAGGAGCGGGCCAATGAGCTCATGCAAGCCATGAAGGGAGAGGGGAGCACTGGTGAGCGGAACCTCCATGGGGATGTGGGGACTTAGCCGTCTGCCTTAAACGCTCACTTCTGTCTTGTCTTGACTCCTTAATTCCACACACTGGAGATGCTAGCTGTGGTGAGGGGGTCAGTGCTGAGGAGCCCACACCATCTTCCTCTGTAGAGGGGCACCTGCGTGTGTGGAAACGCTGACGGGCTCGGTCAGGGAGTGACCAAAGCCACGCAGATTAGAAAGAGTTTCAGTTCCGCAAAGGCAGTCGGCCTTGACCTTGGGATCTAAGAATTTACCTTTCTTCTCGTAGCAGAAGTCCAGGAAGAGATTATCTTGACGGAGGCTGCCCCACCCACTCCTTCACCAGTGCCGTCATTTTCTCCAGAAAAATCTGCCACATCTGTGGAGGTGCCGCCTCCATCCTCCCCTGCCAGCAACCCATCCCCCGAGTACACTGGCCTTAGCACAACAGGTAAGGGGAGCTTCCAAAGTACTGGGTGGCGGATAGATGCTGAAGGCAAGAGATTTCTGGAAAACGGTTTTCCTAAAAAGACAGAAATACCAAGAATTGGGAATCTTGGAATGTGTGGAAATCACTCATTAGTACGTCTTGCACACGTCGCTGCCTCTGATGGGCAGATTAAACATATGGTAAATCTCTATTCCCCCAAGTAAGCCACTGGAATTATTAAAATGTTATGGGAGTATACAGGCATTCTTGAAAACCAGAAATGTGAGCCCAAATCTAAGCAATGTTTCTGGGAAGGTGAACAGGCGAGAGGTCGTATCAAGCCGCAGCACAACTGAATGAGGCGGCCGCTGTGAACAGAGCTGGTCCCGAGCCACACGTGGGCCACCCTGAGCGTGACTTGTCAAGCTCACTACCGGAAGGCTGTTCTGGTGAGAGACCCACAGCACAAGATACATGCTGTGTTCTCATGTGCCAAACCACACCCGAGAATCACCCAGGCCTAGGTACCCACCCATGTCTAAAACAACTGAAAGAACCCCAAACAGATATTTGTATATCACTTTTCACAAAAGCATTGATAATAGTCAAAAGTGGAAAGGACGCACGTGTGTCCTTTGCCTATTGAAGGGTGAATGGATAGAAGGATAGTATACTATGGAATATTTTTAGCCTTAATTTGAGAAGAAATGGCATTGTAATATAACATTATAACCGGAATGAATCTTGAAGTCATTGTGCTAAGTGAGATGAGTTAGGTTAAAAGGACAAATGTCTGACTCCACTGTATAGGGGCCCTAAAGTCATCAAATTCATTGAGTAAAATAGAGGATAGAGGCAGGGGACAGGGAAACAGAAGGGCAGAGCTTCAGTTTGGGAAGATCAGAAACTCTGGAGATGGATTATGACGGTAGATGTACAACCCAACAGATGGACAAATACACTGAGTTGAAAGGTGTAATTGATTTTAGGTTAAGGTGCTTTTAACATACACACATGCACAGACACACGCACATACATGTGCACACATACTCACACAACACACGCACACACACATGTGCACACACACCATAGCACTGCTGTCAATGGAAACAGCATTGCACAGTGGGAAGGGGGAATTAGATACGCATGAGAGTCAGAGATCTTCAAAGAAACAGCTGCTTAAAGAGAAATTTCAACAGAGATGGAACAGAAAATAAAATACAACTGAAAGAGAATTAAAAGAATGAGCTAAGAGATTCTCTGATAGCACAGTCAATGCAAAAAGATAATGTTGAGTATGTGGGCCATGAGAGGAAGAGCCAATCCGTTCAGGAATTACAGCATGTTGTTGTTCTGAGACAGCATCTTACTGTGCAGTCCTGGCTGACCTGGAACTCACTATGAATAGACCAGGCTAGCCTCTGAGTGCTGGGAGTGCAGGTGTGTGCCCAGCCCAATGTTCACGCTTTAAGAAAGTGTTCCCAGAAAGAGCAGGTCATGGTGACTCACCCATGTGACCTCAGAACTCAGGAGGCTGTAAGGCAAGAGGATTGCTAAGTGCTTGAAGCCATACTGGGCCTGTTGGGTGGGTGGGAGGGGACTACAGAGTGAGCTCTTAATTAAAAAATAAATTAGTTAAAAAAGAGAGGAAAGGAAGGAAGGGAAGGGAGGAAGTGAGAAAGGGAAGAAAGAAGGCCAACGCAGGAGGAAGGGAGGGAAAGAGGAAGGGGGGAGAGAGAGAACGCTAACAGTTGAAAGGCTTTACAGAATACAGAGATAAGACCTAGGATAACATGTCCTTCCTTTGAATCCTGAGGTGACTAAATGAGGCTGAGGGGTGGAAGTCATCTCTAAACTCACTGAATAAAATTGGAAAGATCTTACCAGCTCCAAAGAAAACAGATAACACCAAAGGAGACTCAGACTGGCACCAGGCTTCTCATCAGCAATATCAGGTTCAGCATCTGAGGCAGTATTTTTAGCATGCATCGGGAATCTTCAGCACAGAATCCTATTTCATAGGTTGTGTGTGAGAGAAGGGCAGTGCGAGTACATCGTGCATACATGCATACATATAATCTATAATCTATTTAAGGTGCCAAGTCCGATGCTGAGTGCTAGGTGTGGCCTTGCTACCAACAGCCACACAGGGATGAGAGAAGTAAAGACAGGCATCATAGAAGACAGCGCAATCAAGGTGTGAACTAACACTGCAGGGCTGCCAAGGAAGGAAGTCTGTATTCCAGCAGAAACCCACCGCATGCATGCACACAGCGTTGACGGGGGATTCTGTCACAAGGAAAGCGTTTTAAATACAGCCGTTTGGAAGTGCCCATTCTTGCAGTATGGGTTCCCCGGATTGTAGCGGGTCTTTAGACCCACAGGCCTGGAGCTTCTCACAGCTTAGCAGACGAGCTCATGGGAAGTGCCTGCAGACACACTGCTTGGAAACCCTGGAACCCAGCTGAACAAACCTCAGACAGGCAGTTGGGGCACTCCCTGGGAAGAGAGAGAGTGGAGGTAAAACACAAACATTTCTGCTGGCTGACAGCGCTGTTCACAGCTCTCTAGCACCCAGGGGTCCTTCCTGGTCAGAGTTTTCTATCATCATCCCTGGGTCTCCAGTGGGGCAACAAGCTGCCCAGAGCCACTTCCCTGAGCCATGCTCCTAACAGTTCCACCATCACCAGGACAAACAGAGTCGTGGCCGTCCTGTGTTCTGAAACACACAGGGAAGTTTTGCACCCCAAACAGTGTGATCAGGGTGGTTGGGAAACAGGAGGGTGTGAGGGGCATCCCGGAAAACCTAACTCGAGCCTCTCAGAGTCACCCTGCCCATGAGCCCGCCTGGCTTTCTTTGATTTGAAGGCCTCCAGGTAGGGGCAGGTGTGACATTCACCAAGGCCACAAGAATATCGTAAAAGAGTTGAGAGATTTCTGTGCAACGTGCTGCAGGTCATAAAAGGACCTTCTTGGAAGTATAAATGTGAAACAGGCTCTCCTCAGACATTGTAAGCTTTGAAGATTCTGGCACATTCCAGCTTTGTTCTCAGGTATCTCCAGAGGGCATTAAAAATGTCATCCCACATAAAAGTATCTATACTATTTTCCTCCAGTACCAAGTCTGGATCCATAGACAGGATCTGATGTGCAATGGGCCGTGGTCTTAGAAGAGACACACACATAATCTCCTAAGAAGCTGCATGGCTTCATGTGTATGCTATAAATGTAGCATTGGAGAGTTCTTAACTTTGGGGTCGTGTGCATACTTTCACTGAATAGTATTATAACTTAGAAAATGATTATATAAATCCAGTAAAACATACCCATTGTGCTCTTTAGAAAGTTAACTCAGTGTATGAGGTTCATGCCAGGTAGTTTTATTAAACTGCTGTTTTATATTCCATCTACTTTCCAAAAAGCTAAAGACAGAAAATTGCATTTATCTGTTTATGTGTATGTGTGAATGTGTGTGCACTCATAGAGGTCAGATGGAAATGTGTGGCAGTTGATTCTATCCTACCGCTTGAGTTTCAGGGATTAAATTCAGGTCATGGAGTTTAGTGGCCAGTCCCCTTCCCACTGAGCCATGCTGCCATTTCCTCTGAGGAGCCCAGAGTCAGGGCTGTGAATGTAGCTTTTAGGTGGTAAGATGCTTTATTTGACTGAGGTTGATGAAGTCTGGGGTTCAGTTCCTAGCAGTGCATAAACCGCCAGTGTCGGCACAGCTCTGTAATCACAGGACTCAAGGTGGAGGCCAGACCAGAAGTTCAGGTTTCATTGATCAACGATTATCAGGGTGAATTAAGAGTCACGGTCAGGCAGATCCCAGAGTCTCTTCAGCAACCAGTGTTGTCTTCTGGATGGACACGTGTTCGCTTTTCAGCAATGACCATAGCGTGTGTGCTCATGTAGCACAAGGTACCAGTCAGTGGCGTGTAACCTCGTGGTGGCCTTCGATGCACCAGGAAAACAGTTTCTCTACTTATTCATGTCTGTGTCTAGTTCCACGTCCACACAGAGACGTATTTTATCTTAAAGCTGTGCTATCATTTGTAAACAAGGTGGGAGTCGGGAGAGAAGGTCAAGGCCAGTGTCGAGTGTTTACTAAAGCCTGTGGACATCTCACAAGTGGCTGGTATGGGAGTCCACACCAGCATTTCCACTGGGCAAAGCCCAGCCTATTGCCATCCACCCACCTTGATCTCTGTGGGCCTGCCGCCTCCCTCCTGGTCAGGCAAAGTTCAGAAAGTTTAACTCTAGGGGAGGGGGCTCTTTTCTGCCTCCGGGCATGGCAGGTGGTGCCTAATTGATCCGTCCATTTAACGTGACATCGGGCTGCATTTCTTTAATGTCATTTGAAACAAAATGTTACACTAAACTCTGCCTGGGCAGGCCACTGAAGGGCTCTAAAACCCCATTTATGATGTCATGTTGAGTGTCCCTCCTTTAGCAATGACAATAAAAGTTAACGATTAAGCTCATGTTTTCAGCTTCCCACCCAGGTTCCCTGCAACACAAAACCAGCCAACTCAATCATTGGGAAGTTAGGGCGCCCGGTGAAACAGGGGAATTCCTCACAAGTGCCCTGACAGTAGGACATCTGGCCAGCCCAGCTGTACTTTCTCCACAGCAGTTGAGGATGCCCCAAAGATAACTGACCCTTCGACTTCCCCAGTAACAAAAGCCGCTTGTTCTTAGGACGACTAGGATGCCTCGGCCCGGTAGCTCCCAATGGTGGGCACTGGTGACTCATTGACAGTGGCCCCTCCATCACAGCTCCTTCCTCCTCACTGAAGGAACAGAACTAGGGGACGCGAACCAGGGCAGAAAGAAAGATTGTTTCCCAAGCGCTGATTTCACTCCATCCATCACATCTTGACTTTGTTCATCTGTTATTCATTTGTTCGTGCAATAAAGAAGGGTTCTGTGTTTAGTCTGTGCCCAGCCCTGGAGGTACAGAAGTGAAAACAAAGCAGATATGGCCGCTGCCCCTTGGTGGGTGAGAGTTAACACAGACATGAAGTCCCAGGTAAATGTGTAACTCCAAATGGCTGTGAGAGGCAGCAGCGAAACAGCAGTGTGTTGTGAACAAGTCTGTGGAGCTCTGCCCAGCCGGTGCGCAGACCGGGCTTCTCTGAGGAGCCGGGGAGGGGCATGTGGACATGTTGGAGGCAGAAGTAGCTTGGTGTAGTGAGGACTGGCTGCGGCATGGGAGTCAGGGAGCGTGCCAGGAGGTGAAGTCAGCACGTCTTCCTGGGAACTCATTTGTTGCCCCTGGGCACTTTGGTCAATCCGATGTTGGCCATGGAGCTATTAGTGCAACAACTCAAACAGGCAAGGCCTCCCATGTCGGTGGGCACGCTCCTTAAACACAGCTAGCCCACGGGCTGAGGCAGCCCGGAAGCATATGGATAGAGGTACAGACAGATCTCTGTACATAATCCTTCTGTCTCCATCTTGGATGATATAATACATGTTTGTTTAGTGTATCTCAGGAAACAAGTATCATTATCCAAGTAGAACTTTTTGTGATTATAGTAATTAAAAAACAAGCAAACAAATTGTCTGTCGTGGCTGGAGAGATGGCTGGGGTGAAAGACGTTGGATGCTCTGACAGAGGTTCTGGGTTTGGTTCACAGCCCCCGCGTGACATTCTGTAACTTCAGTCCCTGTGCATGGAAACAGTGCACACACGTGCAGCAGGCAAAAATCCACCACGATTGATGCAGCTCCTCAAATAAAAACCAAGTTTGATCAGCTGCAGGTGACTGGCGGCGAATGTCTAGGGCATCGAGTTTCAAATTCTCCACACTCTCACCAGAGCTTATTCCTGAGAAACTGCAAGCAAAGACTTAGGTCAGATTTTTCAGGTGGGAGAAGAGATCCGGTGATTTTGTATAGATGGACAGTTGGAGAAAAGGCAGTTTACACAAGTGTTCGGCAGAATCTCACAACTTCTGGGCTGGGGATGTAATTCAGTGCTTACTTAACACGTGGATTCGATTCCCGGCACTGGTGGAAAGCTCCTTACTTTCAGCAGGCTGCGTGACAGGAAGCAGCAGCATTGTCCCCTTTCCCTGCTGACCCATGGCTCCCCGGGGATCTGGGAGTGGGAAGTGGGTTGTTACATGCTACTTTATGTTGGGTGAAGATATTATTGACCACCTTTCTTTTCCGAGCACACTTTCTGCCCTGTGCTTGCAACCCCATTCAAAACCCACACAACCTTGAGGAAAAGTGTCCTCCTGCGGCTGTGGAGAAAATGGTCCCTTATCGTGGTGTTGGCATTATAAAGCAGCCATCATCTGCCCCTGGGGGGGGTCTTTATAAAATCCTTAATGTTCGGGAGCCCTACCACTACCCTCAGACCGTTAAACATATGGGGTTGTGTGCGTGGTGTGGGGCTGGAGGTAAGGAAGGAAATACGGGAATCAGGCAACAGGGAAACCCGTTGTTTAACCAACAAATGACGAGCGTTGGGGCTGTGTCAGCTTGGCCTTTATTAGTGTCCCTTGAGCAGCCCCAGCCTGTGCAGCGCTTCTCACTGGAGGTCCCCACCCAAGAGCTGGTGCTCAGGGGATGCCGTCTCTGCTCCCCAGACAGAAACTGCTTCTCACCCAAGCCAGTAGGTGTTAATCTGCTTAAGGCTGCCTGAGTGGATGCATTAGATGCTGGCACTTGGCCATTTAGAGGTTTTGTTCCCTAGACCTCAGGGGCCCGTTTTCCCAGGAGTTCCAGCTCTCTGTTTGATAACTGCCGTTCCTCGTAGCATTGGCTCCTTCAACAACAGATTCAATGGAATCAAAGTTTACTGCACACCTGTGCCTCGGCAGGCCTGATGCTGGGGAGGAAGACCTGGATTAACAGTTGCTGTGCACCAGGGGCTCAGACAAAGCCCCCTCTGCTGCATTCCCTCTGCCTTCCTGACTGCCCCTCTCTGAATAGCCACTGCCTTTGCCCACTGCCTGGGGTACTGAGGCTTGAAGGGCTAAGCGCTTGCTTGTTGTGACTGGCTCCTTATTCTCTCAGACTTTTCACTCCCTCTCATTACAGCTCTCCTAGTAAATCTGTTTATGTTTTTATGAATTCTTTTCACAAAAGCAAAATGCATTTATTATAGAAAACACAACATAAAACCAAAAATTTAACAGTGATCAACTTGCTCACCCAGAAGCAGCACATTTTAATAATAAAAAAGGAAACATTTAAAATTTTAAGAGTGCAATAATCTCGTGAAAGTGATGCTTTTGTTATCTGTGCATGGGTACATAATTGAGTGCTCACAAGTACACCCAGGTGCATTCGTGCATTCTTGCACATGCCGGGGCCAGAGGTAGCTTCCTCTGTCACGCTCTACCTTGTTTGTAAGAAAGGTCTCTGTGAACCTGGAGCACCCTCCTGTCCTCACCTCCCTGGGGTCACAGGCACAGCCGCTCCCAGCATTTTACATCCATTCTAAAGATCTGAACTCCGGTCCTCCCACTTGTGCAGCAAGCCCTTTGCCAGTGGAGCCGGCTCCTCACCCCTAAGGAAGGGCTCAGGCTCGGAGAAGGGAGGCACATCTAATCCAGTCACTGAGGTGCAGCTCATCTCCGGAGTCTTCTCTCTGATCTTGGCACAGCTCTTAGGAGCAATTTCTAATTTAAGGATGTTTGTGAAGCACTTAGCCCACAGCCTGGCTGTGATAGATGCTCAACAGAAAAGACTTCCTTGTCATGCTCTTGAAGTAAATCTTTGCCACTTTATTAAAAACGGTATTATCTGCATTCCGAGTTTGCAGATTTACATAAGTTCTTAGTGCAAAGCACTTTCAGTAATAAAACAATACATTTACAGTAAGGTTTCCTTCCCTCCTTCCTCCCGGCTCCTCCTTGCCAGGTCTCTGCCCTATGACAAAACTCGAGTCCACCTGCTCTGCCCCCTCCTGCCACCCTTCCCTGTGCTATCAGCCTTGGGGCAAGGGCAGGCTGCATTCTAATGTGCAAACTCTGTCTTCCTGTAAGAGTTTTAAGGTAGAAATGGGCTTTTGCAGACAATACAGGATTTTGCTTTATCTTCTTTAAAATTTATTTTTAATCTTACTTTGTGTGTCTGCGTGTGTATGCACCACATGATCCCCTGGTACCATGTAGACCAGAAGAGGGAGATGGCTCTCCTGGGACTGAAGTCACTGATGGTTGTGCGTGGTCATGTGAACTGAACTTTTGGGAGAGCAGACCGAAAGAGTAGTCATAACCTCAGAGCCATTTCTCCAGCCCCTTGAAAGCAGCAACTCTCCAGCTCTCTGTGTACCCAAAAAATTACACCTTGTGAAATGATTTTATTTCTGCTCTCAACATTTTAAAATTTATCAGAAATTAAGTTGTCTAATGAGGTTACTGCTTTTAGCAAGCTTTTAAATTGTTCTTACAAAAATTCTAACCGTCGTATAAAATGTGCCTCTAGAGGACCTTTGTCAGCCGCCCCTCCAGCCCAGGTCCTCAGCAGTTTCAGGCGCTCAGGCAACAGATGGAGTTAGTGGTGGGCACGGGATGGGCTGCAGTCAAGTGAGCTGCTTGCATTGCTTAAAGTAGTTCGAGTTGAACATGGAAAGCTAATCTGTGGTGCCTGCCTGGGCCACGCTATGCCAGGCCTTGTATTCTTTTTCTTCCTCTCTTCCGGTCTTTCCCGTCCCTCTTCCTCTTTACTGAGTGTGTCTGGACAGTCAGGCACTATCCTACGTGCCAGGTTGGACAAACTGACATATGCCTAGCCTCATGGAATTTGCACTCTGGTGGGCGGGGGGGGGGGGCATCCATCAAACCTCACACCTTCAAATTTCGCCTTCCAGAATGGGGAACTGAAGATTGAAGTAGGGACCACAGACACCCACAATGCACTGGGGCCCCAGCTAGCCTGGAGTTAGCAGGCAGCTTCTCGGGATTCATCTCTGAAGACCGAGTGGGTAGTGAGGGAAGAGTATGGATGCTGGGCAGCAGAAGCAGTGTGGGCACGGAAAATAATTCTGCGGCTAGACCAGGAGCTGCAGGGGAGCTGAACCTGGGGGTGCCTTGTAACGAACGATTTTGGCTTTCAGCTTAGGAGCAGTGGGAAGCCACAACCATTAGTGACCAGTGCCATGCAATCTGTCTCCGTAGGAGCAATGCAGTCATACACGTGGTCACTAACATATACAGTGACGACAGCCGCTGGGTCCCCAGCTGAGAACTCGCAACAACTGCCCTGTATGAGGAGCACGCACATGCCTTCCTCCTCTGTGACACACAGGATACCAGTCTACTCCCACAGAGAGGAGCACGGGTAGGTGACCTGCTTGGCATTTCACTTCAGAAGGATTCAGATCAGAGTACAGTTTAGCCCGTGTTGCATGCAGATCCGGGTGGGGGTGCTGCCAGGATACGTGGCCTGCATGTCTGTTCAGAAGCCTTACCTGAACTCGGGCAGCCCTTGGCCTCATGATCTGCCTGTCAGGAGACAGCGACTATGCTGCGCTTCCCAAGCAGAGGCTCAAAACCACTCTCAGCATTGAGAAGGACCACACAGTGCTGGGGCCTCACCTGCAGCTGCTCACAGGCCAGAGAAGCCACAAAGTGGCTGCGGCGCAGGGGCATCTCAGGCAACTCCCACACAGGTGGTCCAGCAGAAGATAGAGGGCTTGAAGGTGTGCACAGGCCTATAGGTAAGTGTGTCCCCACGGCTCAGAGCCCCGGGATCTCCACGGGGCAGTCATTATTCCCCGAGGTATTTCTCTACATCATCACAATGTGCTCTTAGAATTGTATTTCACACCCTTCTTTCAACCTACAAGGATGATAGAATAAAGACTCACGTGGCCACAGGTTCAGTTCTTTGCCAGGACATGTTAGAATATGCAGTCATGGTAGTAGTGGCCTGTGTGCTTGTGTGACCCTGCATGCACGTGGCATGGCTGTCACATGAGTGGTTCCAGTATAACCCTGTGTGTCATTTCACAGATGTGAGAAACAGGACCATGAATAAGTCCCGATCACAGTGCGAGACAGAGCAGAGCCTGGCTCAGCACCAGGGTCTCTGACCTGCTTTTTCTCACCATCAAGTTCCCCAGGTTCTTCACCTCCACTGCCCAGCAGAAGTTCAAGGAATGCAGACACAAAGTCCAAAGCAATTTTTTTTCTCCCCGTTTGACTTCAGGGTGTGCAATGGGCTTTTGACACAAGGGAGGAGAGGCTTCCCCCAGAGCCAGGTTCCATCCCCTGAGGTGCAAGCTTGTCAAGAGTGCTGAGGGAAAAGCAAACCCAACCTGGGGTTTCAGAGTTGCCACAGCAAGGCCAATAGGAATCAAGTGGAAGAAAAACCTGTGGTGGGGGGACAAAAAGGAAAAACAGACCAAGTTGATTTTCTCAAGGTGTCAGGATGACTGTTGTCTGCTGTGACAGGTGTCAGGATGACTGTTGTCTGCTGTGACAGGTGTCAGGATGACTGTTGTCTGCTGTGACAGGTGTCAGGATGACTGTTGTCTGCTGTGACACACATCCATTGTGCTTGCTGCTTTTCAGGTACACAGGAAGCTATAACTACGGGAGCTATGGCAACCAGCATCCTCACCCAATGCAGAGCCAGTATCCAGCCCTGCCTCACGACACGGCCATCTCTGGGCCTCTCCACTACTCCCCTTACCACAGGAGCTCTGCACAGGTGAGTGTAGGGGCAGAGGTCTTGCTGGCTATGCTCGGTGCCCAATCAGGTCAACTAAACTCAGCTAATGAGGCCAATGTGTGTGCCCGCTGCCGGTCCTCAAGGGCAGCCAGCTCAACGCCCTCAAGTGGTGCTTGTGATCACGTCATTTCCCTACGCATCCCGTCGCTTAATTGTTCTCCTGACGCCGGGATCCAGCTCGCTGTTTGTGCTGGTCCTTTCTAGGCTCCCACCTCACAGTGGTTCTGTGTCTGCTTCCCCATCGCTACCCTCATGGCATCCGTCGGATCTCTGCATCATGAGAGCTGGTCTCTTGGTTTTCTGGGTGTGTTCAGATTTGACCTACATGGCATTTTAACCTGAAGCATCCTGGAAATGGACCCTCTTGATTACTCCCACCCATCACAGCCTAGCAAACTGAGTCCTCCACGGCCAGCCAGCCTGGGGTGGTGGGAAGTTGAGGAAGTAGCTAGATTGCCACTGTTGGGTATTCCAGTTATATTAGACACCCTCTGCATTGCCCCAAGCATGACTGATCACCAAGTCCATCCAGTTCTGAGTTTTTGCTGTTGTTGAGGTTGTTGTTGTTTGTTTGTTTGAGACCAGGTCTCTCTCTACATAGTCCTGGCTGTCCTGGAACTCACTGTGTAGGCCAGGCTGACCTTGAACTCATGGAGATCTGCCTTCTGAGTGGTGAATTAAAAGAGTGTGCCACCACACCCAGCCTCAATTCTGTGTTCTAAAACGTCTTTGACATCCTGGCTCTCCTGCCTTAGCTCAAGGCCTTCATGTCTAACCTAGATAATAACAGGCCTTCATGATGATCTCTGTATCTAAAGCTTGCCCTGCCTGCAGCTGAAGGGGTCTTCTGGAAAACCCAAAACCATAATGCAGAGTCTGGGACCGTACTGCAGTCATTTCCCTGGCTTACTCCTCGATGTTGGGCTCCTTTCCTGGCCACCCTACCACCCTCCACCCCGTGAGAGCCCCGGCAGCTGTGCAAAGGCCCTGCGTCTATGTGGGCACCAACATCCCTGTCTGTAGGCACTGTTCTCCGAGCTGGGAATCTCTTCTGCCTATCATCTGAACATCTCATGGCCTTGCGGGTCTCCTGAGAGTACCCCCTTCCTTCCTCCAGGCCCCTACCAAGTGCCTGCCACTCTCTGGGCCTTCTCTTCCAGTCACACTCCCCACACCCTGTCAGCCAGGACTTCTAACTCTGCAGGAGTCTCAAAGCAGAGATTAAGTGTCTATCCCCAGTTCACAGCACACAGAACCCATCAAAAGTCCGCTAACTTCTCCCAGATATGCCAGGCTCTGTGCTTGGCATTTTGCATGCACTCTAGATAACCCTAGCAGAAGTGAGGCAGAGCGACTTATGCAAGGGTCAGAGCCCAGGAAGTGTGGCTGCTTTCTGGCTCATGAGCACAATCTCCCACTGTCTCCCAGATGTGGCTCTCACTGTTTTGGGTGGATGGAAGCAACTGTCAGCAGAGCCAATGGTTGGGATAGGCTAAGTGTACTTTGTCTGCTCTGAAGGTTGAGAAGTCACATGTGGGCTTTGTGTCCCCCCCCGCCATGGGATAAGCACAAAAGGGGGCTGGTGTGGGCAGGGGCCTAGGAGGGCAAGGGCAGGATGGAGGGAGGTTGGATGAGACTGCATTGCATCAGCCTGTAGCACACAGATTGGCCTCCAAGGGAGGCAGTGAGGAGAATGTATCCCCAATACGAAGGCACTCAGGGTAAACAGTCATCTGTTTTGATTGCCATCTCAGTACCAAGGGGAACCCTGGTTTAATCCCAAGACAAGCCAAGGAGTTGATTCCACTAAGTCATCCCCTGGGGCATTCGTTAGAGACCTCTGACTGCGACACAGAGATGCCGGCTCCTTGGGTGCTGCTTCTCCTGGGAGCAGAGCCTGTGCGCCTGGCTGCAATGCCCCTGTGTGACTGAGTTGCTGTCAGGATTACACTGCACACAGTGGAGGCACTCTTCCCTCCCTCCCTCCTTCCTTCCCTTCCTTCCTTCATCTGGGTGCCTGCTTTATGTGAGCAGAGCTGCACCTTCCAGGGGAACAGTAGAGAAGTAGGCAGAAGCACCCTGCTTTGGAAGCATGCACTCCAGTCAAGGACAGCATCATCACACCACAGCTTTGGCTGTTATCGTCCTTCTCTACTGCCTCATACCCCTACCCCAGGAAATTTCAAGAGCTCCTTTTCGGGGAGGGTGATATTTTTAAAACCATCACCATATAAAGAAGCCAAGTTCTCCTCAAAGGCCACAGAGACCCTGGTGGTCAAAGATAGGTCTGCAGTGTCCGTTTTGGAAGCCACAAGAGTACCCAGCTGGGACCCTTATCATGCAATGGCTGGTCTTAAGAGAAATGGCCAAGAGCTAAGCTCCAGTCCACAGAGAAACCCTTCATATCAGATGAGGACTCAACCAGCCTCTCCACCGTCTTGTGCTGTGTCTCTCAGACAAGGGCATTTGACAGTCTACAATCCCCAGCACACACACGTACACACATGTAAACACACATACACACACATGCATACACACACAGACACACACACACTACTACTACCACTACTACGCTTTATGGTTCACGGTTTAGTTAGTCTCCATCTGTAAAGTGGGGTGGGTAAAAGTTAATTATATCATATCCTCTGCCCAAGCTGTAGGGCGAGGTCAGTGTTGAAGTGTCCCTCTCTTAGGGAAGGTCCTGTACAGAGAGAGACAAAGCAACCTTTGTTTCATTTTCCATTAACATTTAAGCAACTTGCGCCTCTGGGCACTTTGAAATAGATGGACTCATTTGTTCCCATAACAACCTCAGGAAGACTGCATTTTCTCCAGTTCTTTTTTTTTTAATATTTATTTATTATGTATACAATATTCTGTCTGTGTGTATGCCTACAGACCAGAAGAGGGCTCAAGACCCCATTATAGATGGTTGTAAGCCACCATGTGGTTGCTGGGAATTGAACTCAGGACCTTTGAAAGAGCAGGTAATGCTCTTAACCTCTGAGCCATCTCTCCAGCCCCTTTTCTCCAGTTCTTAAAGATGAAGCAGCAAGGGGCTGTAGAGACGGCTCAGTAGAGCACTGACTGCTTTCTGGGGGACCTGAGTTCAATTCCCAGCACCCACACGGCAGCTCACACCTCTCTGTTGTAACTCCAGTTCCCTTACACAGACAGACATGCAGGCAACACACCAATGCACATTAGATAAAAATAAATTATTTTTTTTTTTTAAAAAGATGAAGCAGCAACTTCAGAAAGGCCATGTGACCCATCCAGCAAAGCAGACTTGAGCACAAATTCAACTCTCAGCCCCAGCCCCATGTCAGGGACTTCAAACCACTGGGTTGGGAGTCAGCAAAGTCTAGAGATTGGCACTTTTATTCTCACTAAATCTCAAGTTCTGAGAGAAGATCAAGTTGTTTTTTATTTTAAATTTAAAGTTGAATGTACAAGGCTGAAATCCATTGTAGGGTCGAGTAGTCTCAGCTTCCCAGAGCAGAGCTCAAACAGTCTCAATTCCCCGTGAATGGGCAACACATTTCACTACAGAAGGTTCATGGGGATGAGGAAGAAGAAAATTCATGATCAAACAATGTTTTTTAAAAGAAATGTACTTGCACTGGGCAGTGGTGGCGCACGCCTTTAGTCCCAGCACTCAAGAAGCAGAGGCAGGCAGATCTGTGAGTTTGAGGCCAGCCTGGTCTGCAGAGTGAGCTCTAGGGCAGTCAGGGCTACACAGAGAAACTCTGTCTTTAAAAAAAAAAAAAATCAAAAACGAACAAACGAGCACTCCGGTTCCCAGCAGAAGGATGCCTACAAGACTGTGATATTCACATGCACCCCAGCACTTATGTTATAGAGTGATCCGAACTCACTAGTGTTTCCCTTGAACATGTTTATGCTGTGGAGGGCTCTTATTTACACAGCACGTGCTTGCTATGGCCAGTTTGAATCACATTACAGTTGACCGCGTGGGTGGGATTATCTCTGCGCCTCAGTCAGACCTGGCCATGCAATCCTTACTCTGTCAGCAACCATAAGTGTGAACATGGCCCAGGAGTTCAAAAGTCATGCGATCAACCAGCATCCATACAGCTAGGCACACACTCCACGAGGAAGGAAAGCTGCTCCTTCTTTCTTATCCAAATGGCTCAAGTGTAGCTTGACCAACGCCATGGCCACTGCAATCTTCATCTGCCTGGCCCCAACCAGCCCACAGCCAGGGGTGCCACCAGCTTCCTCAGGGTTCTTCCCCTTGGGAGCCTCTTGGACCAGAGTAGAGAAAAATACACAGACACATGCACAGGCACACACACACACACACGCACACACACACACACACACGCACGCACACACACACAGCTGTGAAGACAGCTCAAGTAAGGTGCTTTCTTGAATTCGCTCTCTAGAACATAAGTAAGTATAGTAGAATATGTTTATAACCTCAGTGCTGAGGAGACAGACAAGCAGGTTCCTGGGACTCAGTGGCCAGTCAGCCTACTTGGTAAGTTCCAGGCTAGTGAGGGACCCTGTCTCAAAGAAAAAGAAAAAAAAAGGTAGACAGCACAAAAGGAAAACACCTGGGGTTTTTCTCTGGTCCACATGCACATGCACACACATGCAGACATGTGCCACATATGTATGTGTGTGCACCCACACATATCAATCAATCATAGTGTTGCAAAGTCTTTTAAGTGCTGAGCTAGACTCCCTGGGTTCAAATTCCACATCTGCCTCTAAATAGTTCTGAGCTTCAATTAATTCATCTGGGAAATGGAGATAGGTTGTAATATCCATTTCACAGGGCATAGTTAGATGTGGTCAGGCAGTTAATAAAGAATAGAATAAGATCTGGCTCATAGTTAATGCTGTTTGCATTCATCATTATCCTTTGCCGTTTAGTTATAATGGTGTTCTATTTTATATAGTTCTGCTCTCTGCTCTGTTCTGGCTCTGCAGAGGCAAGAGCCAGGCCCTTCTCACCCCTCATACTCCCAGGACCCAGAGCTGGGTCTTTAGTGATTGCCCAGGATATACTCCCAGGATGTCAATGAAATGAAAGAGCCTTGTTTGAGCACTGAGTTGTTATGTGGCTTCAAGCAGGCCATTGCCCTCACTTGGAAAGTGAACACTGGGACCTTCCAGTCAGTCACCGAGGCTCTTCGAATCACTAATAGACCACGATCCTATGTCTTTCAAAAATGAACTTTAGTAATGGCTAGCACATTTTGAAAACTTACAACATAGTTTCTAAGTGATTTCACTCCAATTCGTTTGACCAATCTTGACCCTAAGAGCTCAGCAGATGTGGACTGTCTGACAAAGAGTCTGAGAGACACGTCCTACTACTCCAGAAGAGGCCAAAAGGAAGGCTGCTGGGGGAGGGGGGAGCCCCTGGCAGGCCTTGCGTACAGTGAGAGCTGTCTTTCATAGGAAAACAGTTTTCACTCCTGACTCAGCCACCTTTCACCCCCTGCCCAAGCAGCCGGCCATGTGGTGAGGGGCAGGGATAAAGGGCTCAGTCTTCCCTTTCCATGGACAGGAAAGTCCGCCCCTGGAGTAGGGAGTCGTTTCCCAAAATAGACTTCCTAATACAGTTCCAAAGAGGCCAAGAGTCATCACTACCAAGATGGACTTAAATCATAGCCTCTTGCTGACGACTTTAAACACGCACACACACGCGCACACACACAGGCAATACCGCACCTCGTGCACTCCTTTCAGAGGTGGTAATGATTTAGTGATTTATCTTATCTTAAAAAGGAGCAGCAGCAGCTTGTGATTTGGTCCAGACTGATAACTTCCTGTTACCCGTCTCCACAAAAGCTCCTTTATCCTGGCCTGAGCTCTTGGCACCCCAGAGCTTGTACCCAGCATGCTTAAGGGCTTTGCACGAAGCCAGATGTGAAGTGTGAAAGGTGAGGGGGGACGCTACTGTGCAGCCTCTGCCACTCCCGGCAGGCTGCACACAGTCTCCACTGGCACACTGACCGTCGGGCCAAGGCAGCAGGCACTCCATCCATCCCGCCTCTCAGTGCCCTCTTACACTAGGGGGTAAGCAAGCCACTGACTCATGTTCAATTAGCTGACCTAATGGGACAGAATTTTCCACGCTGCTAACAGAATTGTATTGTCACACTGGAGATATTTTGAGCCAGTCTCATTTCCAGGCAATTGCTCTTTGGAGTCTATGACACAACCTCTGGGCACAGCTGTGCTGAGGGTCCTTGATGAGGCACAACAACTACACGCTCCTGAGTTTGGTGGCAAGGGCTCCAAGTCCATGCTGTGACATTTTACCTACCCAGACCGAGGCCAGAGAGGCCAGCAGGCTTCCAGTGGCCTGGGTCAGCATTCCAAGGCCTATCTCTGTGGAGGAGGAGAGATCTTGATGAAGGAAGATGCAAGAATAAAGTGTTTGCAAGGGGTAGGGAGGCCACGTTTAGATCAGTCAGATTGATACGGGGAGATTGCGCCACTGAGGTCTGGGCTTTTGTCATGCTCCGTGACACTGGGCATGGCTCCAGCTTTTCCCGCTTCTACAATGAGTTTAGACTTGATGACCCTGAAGTTCTTTCTGCTGGGACTGGCCCAGTGTACGTTTACCAAATATGGTTAGCACCTGTTAGGTGCCAGGCGCTGTACCAAGTTTTGGGGACATATCATGAATAAAACAAAGCCCCACAGGGAGCATCTGAATGCAAGCCAGGGGAGAAACAGCTGCCAGGCAGGGTGGAGGCGGTAGGGCACTTGGCTTCTTGAGTCAGCATGTTCAGCACAGTCACTCTAAGGAGTTGATGTCTGAGCTGAGAAAGAGTGGGGAAAGGATAGGACTTAAGGGAGGACCAGCCCACCATGCCCCTGGATGAAAAGGGAGACATGCACCCAGCTGTCTCGCTTGGGAGAGCATCGTTGGTTCTTCTTAATGTCATCTTTTTAGTACATCTGGGATCTAAATTTTTTTCCCTGAGAATCTTCATTCACAGACCTGAGGAGCCACCCTGACTCCACCCAAACAGTGTGCTGGGGCCTCACTCTGCACGGCACATGGGGCTGCGCCGGTGCTGCAGATATGATGGGGATTATGAAAACCTTGGCATGCTGTCTGCAGTCTCCTTGGCAACAGCCCTCGGTCCTTCTCCCTGGAGTTCCCAGACACCTCCTACACCCTTTTTCTTAACTGTTCTTTTCTTGTGCGCAGCTGCCCTCCTCTGTGTAAGCAGGGGTCCTGTGTGAGGGAAAGGCTCTCAGTGCTCCACCTAAAACCCCTCTTCCTGAGTCCTGCGTAGCTAGTTCTCTTGATATCACCCAAGCCTCCTCTCTGTCTCCTGCTTCCCCGGGGATCCAGCTCAAAGAGGCCGAGGGGCTCCTTGCTGTCAGCACCATGGTGCTGTCTAGGCTTCAGCCTGTCTGTCTCCCTCACTGGAGGCACCTCCCACCTAGCCCCTGGGGGCTCCACTTTCCAACTGTCAGGGTAGACAGATGGGGGACAGAAATTCACACGTGCTCTCCTCCATGTTGCCCTTGTCGTCCTGGTTCCTTGGCTCCTGTCCTTGTTGGCCCTAAGCATAGCAAGGACATCTTTGTGCTGACTGCCCAGCAAACATGAACTCCTAAGGGAGCCTTAGCCCCTTCCCTCACCATCATTCTGACAGGGCCGCGTTTCCTTAGCTGTCCTTCCAACAGTGAAGAATGCAAAAGAAGGACTCAGAGCCCCTCTCCCTCCTCTTGTCTCTGCCAACACCTGTTCCTTGGCCTGATTTGCCCCAAAGTTCCCTTTCCTGCTGCCTCCCTGTCTATCTTGACTGTCCTCCCTGTCTTGACTCTGTCCCCCCCCCGTCTCTCCTGACTCCGTCCTCCCTGTCTCTCCTGACTCCGTCCTCCCTGTCTCTCCTGACTCCGTCCTCCCTGTCTCTCCTGACTCATCCCCCTGTCTCTCGACTCTGTCCCTCCGTCTCTCCCGAACTCCGTCCCCCTGTCTCTCCCGCCCCATCCCCCCGTCCTCTCGACTCCATCCTCCCTGTCTCTCGACTCATCCCCCGTCTCTCGACTCATCCCCCTGTCTCTTTACTCTGTCCTCTGCATTCATTTACCATTTCCTCCTTGCACATCTTTCAGGACTCCAGTGAATGTGAACCTAAAAGAGAGAGATGTTCTTTAAATGACAGGCACTAATAATAACCTTTGAAGCTGTTGGCTTGCTTTCTCTTCAAAAGCCTGCTTGTGGCTGAGGTTCATGATTGAATTCAGCTGTAAAATGCTATTTTTAATGTCATTGTGTTTTACCTGGTAGGGCTGTTCTCTTGGGTTGATGGAATAGGACTTATCACACCTCCATAAGTATCGATAAAACTCAAACCTATCCAGCAATCACACTTAACTGGACATACTTGCTAGTGTGTATACACAATGACACACGCATAACTACTAACACCACTACCTACTACTACGCACAAGCACAACTACCACCCCAACCATCCACTACCATCACCATGACCACCACCACCACCCCAGCCACCACCACTACCCCAACGACCCACCACCCAGCAGCAGCACCACCACCACCACTACTACTCAGTATTCCCAGCTGGGGATGGTTCTCTCCGAACCATTTGACTTCTTAGAGTATTTCAGACCCAAAGCTCACAGTTAGTCATTCCGTGTAAGCAAAGCACGAGCAGCCTCTAGCCGCGAGAGCCCTGAGGCTCTCCTGCTGACTGTTCACACTTGCACAGAGGCTCACCCATTCCTTTCCGTCACCACCTGTGAGTAGTGTCTTGCAGTGTTTAGCTTACATACATTTGCTCTTGGGTGCAGGCAACTTCAAGCTAATCTTAATTTTGTGGACTTTGTTTCTCCTCCACAAGTACCCTTTTAACAGCCCCACTTCTAGGATGGAGCCTTGTTTGATGAGCGGCACTCCCAGGCTGCATCCTACCCCCGTCACTCCTCGCTGGCCAGAGGTGCCAACAGCCAACGCATGCTACACGAGCCCATCTGTGCATTCCACGAGGTACGGGAACTCGAGTGACATGTACCCACCCCTGACCACGCGCAGGAATTCTGAGTACGAGCACATGCAACACTTTCCTGGCTTTGCTTACATCAACGGAGAGGCCTCCACTGGATGGGCTAAGTGACTGCTTTCATAGGAATTCATATTTAATATTAATAATTAATAATAATAATAAACCCAATACCCACCCTCCAGAAGACTTTATCTCTATACATAATAACTCGCGGGCTGTTCCTAAGCGTCCATTTTCCTAATGAGCAAGAGGATGGTCAACCTGGGATGAATAGACTTTAGTTCAGAAACAGGACTTACTAAAAGTCCCTGGGCTTGGGTTCCTGTCTCCAAGCCAGACTTGATTGTTTCTAGAGAGCACTATCGTGGGCAGGCCGACCAGTGCCTTTCCCCTCTGTTCCATGACCTTGCATGGCAGCCACTCCCTATAGGGTACTTATTTTCTCGTTGACAAAGCTCTTAAGTATTTAAAGATGGATACTGGAGCCAGAATCCAGTTTGTATTCTTGGGTGGGCACGTCGTTTACCGAGAGCATTTGCCTTGCCTTGTCTGTCATCTCACTGTACAGCCCCCAGCCCTTGGGCGCTATCCACCTCCTGACTTGTGGTGGTGGTGGTGGCATTGCTACTTCCTGGAGTCCTAGGGCTACATGGAAGTTCCACTCACGCCTGCCAAGTCACCTGCATTGTCTTGGGGTTGTAAGCACTGTTTGGAGGGACTGAGGAGGCCTGTTGTGTTGTGTTCCGCCTTTAGTTGATTGATGTCCATAGGACCAGTTCTTCTATGTACAAGGATGTGTCCTAAGTTTGCACAATGGCTGGCATCAGAGAAAGGCAGGAGAGGGTTTTCTTGAGTTCTGTGAGAAGTGTGGGTTTATGGCGGTCCGCATCATCCTCCACTCTGCTGCTTTGTGAGGCTGGATGGATCAGACTTTCACTTAGCCAGCGCCAAGTGTGACAACTGTCCTGGTTCCTTCGTAAGACTAGAATATTTTCCGACACTTTGCTAGAAAAAAACAATTCAAAGCTGTGCCTTTGAGTCTATACTATACTGTGTATGTGTGGAAATAAAAATGTATTGTACTTTGGGGAAATTTTTTCGTAGGTTTTTTTTTGTCAGATTTGCAGATATTTGTGAGGTTTATTAGAGATTAACATAGGTTTTCTTTCTGTATTATAAGATGCACCAAGCAATTATGGTGGACCTATTACCCTATGGGTAAGAAATAAATCGAAATATGACATCGGATGTTTTAGCAAATGTTCTGTAAATAAAGTGTTTGATCACACCACCCAGTGTGATAATCATGTCTACAGCTAAAATGGAAATAGTTTTATCTGTACAGTTGTGCAAGATATGAATGGTTTCACACTCAAATAAAAAGTATTGAAATGACCAGCTTCCATTTGGTTTTCATTTGCATTTGATATGCCGGGTGTGTGTCTATGATATAAATAACATTCTTAAATTCTTGGGACATGGGTAGGCAGAACAAAACTAAAGGCCTTGCTGAGTGTGGCAGTATATACCTATAATCCTAGCACAGAGAAGGCTGAGGGTGGAGAATAGTGAGTTCAAGGTCAGCCTAGGTCTGGTCTATAAATAATAAATAGATAAATAAATAAATAAATAAATAAATAAATAAATAAATAAATAAATGCAAATAAACAAACAGCAAAAGCCTTATGTGACTGTGTACAGTTTGTTTCTTCAGTTCCCTGTCAACTTGTCGGACAGTTTGGGAGGCCCATGCATCTTGTCCTGACAGACGGCCAAGTGAGCACAGTGCCAATAGCGCATTGCGGGTGTGGAGAGGCCCTGTTCCACAGCGTGGGATCTGCCCTCCGTTTGCCTGCCTGCTCTTGCAGGAAGGAATATTCTCCCTCAGCTCAGCATCATCAAGCGCTCCCCTGGCAGCAAGTTCATTATGCTTTGATGATCACTGGGTATGAAGATATTTCAAGTGTCTCGCTTTAACTGAGAACCCACAGAACAGGAGCATCACTGAGTACTTCTCAAGAGTTAAATCCTTCTCCAGCTCAGCATTTTGGTTCTGTGGCTAAGGGGCACGGGATATAAAAGAAGCAGTTTCCTTTTGCACAAATGTTCAGAATCTAGGAGCTAAGAGAGATGCAGAGCCTATTCAGAAGTGAGTGTGCGAACCCAGAGGTATGAGCATGTGACAGGGGAATTTGCATCTCGATTTATTTTTAAAGCCAAGCCCTTGTGTGCTATTACATAACAAGTTTATACCTGAAAGATAATTTTAAGATGGAAATTATTTGTGTTACACATAGCCTCCTCTTAAATATATTCAGCTGCGTTATCCTACAGAAAAGAACATAGATGCTGGATCTCATTCTCTCATGGTAAATTAGTCTGACCTTTGGTTCACAATCCATTAGCTTTCTATGATGAAAGCAAGGGAGAGGATGAATGTAATTTTGAATTTAGGCACTGTTGAGAATGAACCTCAGGATGACTTCAAAGCAAGTGCTGTGTAAACAAAGGTGTGGTCTGTCTAACCTTTGTCTTAAGGAGCACAAAAACAAAACAAAACCAAAACCCAAACAACAACAAACCACAAGTCATTATCAATTCTCCAGCCAGGTAACAGGATAAACAGGGCCCATTTGCAAATAACAGCCACAAGTTCGTTAACTGAGCAGCCGTTAGGGGAAAGCTCTTCACCATTAACAAGAACCTGGGGTGGAGAGAGTGAAAAGAGGCTCCATGACCTTTCCAAGTGAGCAGGCGCCCCTCACTGCTCAACCAGGAATGAATGACACCAACAAAGGAAGCAGCTTGAGATGGGGGCCAGCGGGCGCAGGGCATCCTCCCCAGGAGCCCAGGGCATAGCTGTGTTCCCAAATGTGCTAAATGTTCTGATGCCGAAAGGAAACAGCTCTTGGGGGCTGGCATCTTCTCTTTCTGGCGGTTCCTCTCCAGTCACCAGAGTGGGGATGAGAGAGGCTGGCAGCTGAGTGGGGCTGGGCACTTCTCAGAGGAGGCGCAGAAGAGTTTTGGCAATAGGACTTTTTCTTGAAAGTTCCGAGAGCTGAAGACTGGCTGAAGTCATGAATATCTACAGCAAGGATGTCACCCACGCTGCAGGCCCGTGGCATCCTTTCCATTTGTCCTGCTGTGTCCTTCGCCAGGCCTCGTCATCCCCCATCTAAACCGAGAGGGATGTGTGGCCCCTCGGAGAAGACAACCCACACAAATAGGGGATGTTTGCCATTGAGGGAGCCCAATCATGGCATTAAAAGCCCAGATCATTAGGGTAGCAGGTGCTTCACTGTCATGTGACCTTGGGTGTGCTTCCTCTGTATCCTGGACCCAAAGCAGGCCTGTTAACTGGCCCTGAAATTCCAGATCATGGTGTCTGTGCTGAAAGACCAAGGCTAGCAGATTTGGGGAAGGAGAGTGGACCCACAAGTTAGGCCGACAGCTGGGTCAGTGATTCAGGGAGGCTTCTCTGCTGACGCCAGCACTCAGCCTGAGGGCCATGCCTGCAAGCGCAGCTGGTACATCTGCCTGTCACCTCCAAAGACCCCACCACTCCCTCTTATCTAGTCCTGCCCACCAGCCCTTCTCCCAGCAGGAATCTTTTGCAATTTTCCCTCTGTTCAGGACTGGCTTGGATATCTGCCTCGGGAGCCATCAAAATGTCCACAGTGAAGCTGGAGATATACAGGGAGCGCCCCGGGCTCTGTCCCTCTCTCATTGGCAGATGGCAAGATTTTAAAATATTAAAATATTAAACCCAGGGAAAGGGCATGACATAAATATGCTATTACAGGCAAAGGGGAAAGGAGGAGTTGCCATGGGCCTCCAGAAGCCTAGGAGGACAGCTCTCTGCAATGAAATGAGAACAGAGATTTCGTATTGAGTCACCCAGAAGCTTAAAAACAAATGATGGATCTCCTTATTGGCATATTCTTACTAGGGCGAAGCAGCAGTGAAGGAGGCCGAATCCTGGTCCCAGCAAGGACAGGCTGCAGCAGGGGCATTCCTATAACAGGAGATGTGGTGCTGTGTAGGCACCAGGACTTTTATGCTCTCTGGGTGATATGTATTTAAGGTTGAGAATCCACAAGCCTTCCACAGTGCAGCTCCAAGATTCAGGGACCTACTTCATGTGAGTTCTAGGTTTCTTTTTTTTCCTACAGGGTCCCAGTGTCTCCAAAGAGGAGAGCCATTATCTATGCAAACTTGTCACCTCTCCACAGCCTCTGCTGTGCTAGTTTTATCTGCAGTCAAACCTTCCCGCCTCTGTGGTGCGGTGACTTGGCCCTCCATCCACGTCAGTCCCTGTCAGTTTGCGTGACTCTCCTAACCTGGGACTTCACAGCTTTGGTCCCTTGGCAGCCTCCTAGGCTCTGAGCCTGGGCACTGTTCTTGGAGACTCCTCTTCCTGGGAGGTCAGGGCCTTCTGTGTTTCACCAGCCTCCTTCCTGAGCTCTTTCCCCACTCTCTTCCTGAACCTCAGACCACCCCCAACACCCCCACATTTTGTTCCTGCTGGTGTAGGTGGGGCAGAAGACGTGGGCCACGGAGTTAAGAACTGTTGCTAGGTGTGTGGGTGAAGAGAGATGGCGGGTGAGGAAACCAGGACTCCCCAGTCTTCCGCCTCCTCTTCTCATTATAAAAGTTTCGGTTCTTTGTGATGCTTTATGACAAGGAATCAGGTCTGACCATGACTGCAGGGTGAGAGAAATCGGCTTCAGAAACAGCTGCCGGACCGGTGTGTGGTGTTTATAACAGTATAATGGAGAGGTCTGAGGAGAGTTTGGGATAAATTCATTCTCAAGAAACTGCCAAACTGTACCCCTGTGAAGGTCGGTATCCAAGATGTCCTGGTGCAGACTAACCTCTAAGAGAACAGAGATAGGTGGTGTCTTTGGGCTGAAATGCAGTCGAGGCAAGACGATGGTTAGAGAAGGCCCTTGTGCCACTGTTAGCTCACAGTTAGTGGTCTCTGAGAGCGCTGAGCCCACCTACAGTATCGCCTGGGGTCCACCAGGTACCGTGCACATTAGATACACCGCATCTACATCTAATCCTGCCTGGTCCACGGTTACCTCTCTTGTTTACATCCTGTTCAAGGGCACGCGGCTTAATGGGCAGTCCTGGGATTTGAAAGGTACCCCCAGGTCCATCTGAGCTCCTTCTACGACAGCACACTGCCTTCTTCCTTCCTCCTTTTGTTTTCCCACTACCCTACCCTGTTCCTCTCCAAGCAACTTTGCAGCTTTTCAATCAAGCTTGACCGAGGTAACACAGCCCACTGGGGTCCAAGAGACGCTAGGAAGCTCTGGGAAACTGTGCTGGCTAGCTCGCTCGTAAACGAAGGCAGTTCCTTAACAAGGGCCCCAGGGCTTCCCCTCCACCCAATGTGGCATTCCATACACTGTGCAAGGATGGCAGCTTTTCCTCTGTCGGTTTCCAAGGAAGGCATGACCAAAACACGATCAAGGACCAAGATTTGGTTATTCTATAAAGGATCAGGAACAAAGGAAATTAATAAAACGTTTTTCTTTTCTTTTTCTTTATTTTTAAATCAGGTCCCAGGGGGATTTTTATTACCAGGTTGGGGTGGGGAGCACCACAGGGAAGGAGCAATGAGCCGAGCTTTCACTAGAATGAAGTCATTGGGGTGTGGGGGAAGTAGGAGAGGGCTTGGCTGCCTCTCGCTGTTAAGGTCACTACCCTTTGACAGAGGTGGCCTCTGACCTCCACAACCCTACAATTCTATTTTGACTGATCCTGAAACCCATGAAATTCAGATGTAGGCCCTGCCCAAAAGTTGAGATACCGCTGACTAACATGGGAAAAGCTCCCGGTATGTGCCCCCCAGCTGAAAGGGGCTGGCAGTTCTTTGGCCAGGGATGCAATTTATTCCGTCCTGCTCCTTTCAGGGAAATGCTAATCCTTCATAGGCGACTGGAGGGGAAGACTTAAATGTGTTGATGATGAATGACAATAACCCTTTGTCCACTGCTGCCTCCTCCTAGGGTTGAACCTTAAGAGTTTAATCAAATGTTGGTAAGTAAATTAATGCTTTACTGCAAAAGGAGGTGCTGGGAGGAAGGGGTGTGAGAATATATTTCCTCTGACATGTGAATTTCAATACATTTAATTGCAAAGGCATTGTTTTGAGGAGGTGTTGAAAGGGTGCTTTAGATTCTTTATTTACACACACACACACACACACACACACACAGAGGCAGGGTCACTGTCTTCAAACTGTATGGCAGCATGCAGTGTGAAAGAAGTTACTTTAAAGTCATACAAAGCAAGCATTGCCTTGGAGTTTTCTCTCTTAACAGTTGCAGCAGAGCTGGAGAGATGGCTCAGCAGGCAGTTAGGAGCATGCGCTGTTCCCAGCACAACAGCCTGTAACTCCAGCTCCAAGGGCTCCGACACTCTTCTGGACTCCTTGGGTATCTACATTTACGCGTGCGCACGTGTAATGTGCACCTATGCATTTGTATACGCATAATTAAATATTTAAAAAGTAGTAACAACATCAGTAGCAGAAAAAGAAAACAAAATTAAGAAATAACCCGAGAACAACTATCTTAATCCTGGAGAATCAGAGTTATTTTAAGGACACCAACTTTCCTTCCCCCATTTCAGTCGAGCTAACGCTGGGCGAGGCCTCTCCACGCCAAGTCCCATGCGCTGGCCACACTGACAACCATCTCTTTGAACCCTATGACATCCCACAAAGGGTTCATTGCAGCATCCCAGGAGCACAAATGATTTACCCTAAACAGAGTGAACATTCACGAAAGGCTTTTTTCCCTGTTGGTTTCGAGAAAGGTTTAAAGATATTTGACAAACCACTGGCTTCTGGGACTCACAGTGAGTTGGGACTGAGGTGTCCCATCTCCTAGGCCAGGTTAATTGTTTTTGTTTTTGTTTTTTGTTGTTGTTGTTTTTTCGAGACAGGGTTTCTCTGTGGTTTTGGAGCCTGTCCTGGAACTAGCTCTTGTAGACCAGGCTGGTCTCGAACTCACAGAGATCCGCCTGCCTCTGCCTCCCAAGTGCTGGGATTAAAGGTGTGCGCCACCACCGCCCACAGGTTAATTGTTGACAGTTCTGCACAGCCACCCCAAGGGCTGGATTTTCCCAAGGGGGATGTGTTTCAGATTCCAAGTCAATAAACTGCAGATAGAGCTAACCAACATCCGGAACTCGGGTCAATAGAAACTCCTGAAGGGCAAGGACCATTTCCTGTGCTAACTGAAAACCTACTGTATACAGTCAGTACAGATCAATCATGGATGTATTTGCCAAAGACTAGTGAGAACCCTGGAAAGGTTGCTGAGGCTGGCTACCATTAGTTCTAAATTGTGCACACCACGACATGTCAGAGGATAGCTCTCAGGACTTGCTTCTCTCCTTACACAAGGTGGGATCAGGGCCCGAACTTGGGGCGTTAGACTTGGCACCAAGCACCTTCACTGGCTGAACCATCTCAGCTGCACACAACTGTGGTCCTAACTCCCAGAACAGAGCCCATCCATCCCTTAGCTAAACCAACAGATTTGGTCACCTGCGAGTAAGACAATCAACATTGTAGCTTCTCTTCTCGTTATATATATAAAGGTAGTGCCTGTCCTACTGATTGCATGTTTTCTAGCTATTGTAAAGGTTACGTCAGATAATTTATGGGGAAGTATTTTGAGGATCGCAAAGCTCTCTGCATAGGTTTGCATTGCGCTAGCATCTCTCCAAAGTGATACCTTTTAAGTGTTTGCTGCTTTGATAACTCAAGCTCTAAATCCTAATTCCTTGGCACCACGCCACCTATCTAGTAAGAGAAGCTAGACTTAGTGATAGACTGGCGTTTTCGGTCACTGAAAGGATCGTGTATCCAGTATCTTGGGAGGTGATGTATCGTAGTAGTCTGCTCGAGACTCTGTCCCAGAGTTTGCTTTTGACTGTTGACTTTGGACAAGCCACTTCATTTTTTCTGGGACTGGAGTCTTGCCGGTGATTAAAGAACAACTTGAGTTAGAGCCAAAGTTACTTTGATTCATAAAATCAGAATATAAATACTTATTAAAAATACAATACAAAATCCCAAGCTATTAATTTATGCAAGTCCACATTTTTCTATTTCTTCTTAGAAATACAGAATTGGGGCCTAAAAAAAATAGCCTATTTCTGCCAAACTGACATTTCAAAGATGTGTAGGAGCCCCCCCCCCCCTTCTTTTTTGAGACAGGGTTTCTCGGTGGCTTTGGAGCCTGTCCTAGAACTTGCTCTGTAGACCAGGCTGGCCTCGAACTCACAGAGATCCACCTGACTCTGCCTTCCAGGTGCTAGGATTAAAGGCACGTGCCACCACCACCCAGTGGGAGCCTTTTTTTTTATATCCTCATTGGGATACTTTCTTCTTGTTATATTCTTCCTCTTCTGGAGACCTTTGACCCCTCTACGGACAGGTTTTATGTCAACTTGATACAAGCCAGAGTCATCAGAGAGGAAGAAACCTTAATTGAGAAAATGCCTTCATGAGATCCAGCTCTAGGGCATTTTTTAAATTAGTGATCCAAGGGGGAGTGCGCAGCCCATTGAGGGTGGTGCCATCCCTGGGTAGGTGTTTCTGGCTTCTATTAGAAAGCAGACTGAGCAAGCCATGGGAAGCAACCCAGTAAGCAGCCCCCCTCCATGGCCTCTGCATCAGCTCCTGCCTCCAGGTTCCTGTCCTGTCTGAGTTCCTACCCTGACTTCCTTTGGGAAGTGTAAACCAAATAAACTCTCTCCTCTCCAACTTGTTTTTTGGTCATGTTGTTTCATGGCATCAATAGAAACACTAAGACATTCCCAAATAAATAATTACCCAAACAGGACTTCAGAAAGTACTGGACAACATTCAGCTGGATTTCCAGTTTGTTTGTTAATTCACCTGGACCTCTTCTCTATAAAATGGAAATAATCCTTTGTCAATGATCCATTAAGTTTGTTTCAAGGACCCCTTTAAATCATGGGTAGTATATGTCTACCCATGTCTGTAAAGGGAAAGACATGCTACTTTAATCTTAGAATCATAGTTTTCATGACCTTTCTTAGAAGTATTCTCTTTGGAGAATCAGATTAAAATATTTCTGACCTTATTTATTAAAGATACAGCACCTATCTTTTTACATACTTTGCATCTGAAATATCTGGGCCCATTTATTAAAGACTTGGTCCCCAGTCCATGGCACTGTTGGGAGGTGGTGAGGCATTAAAACCTAAACCAAGAGTTAGGTCCATGGCAGCATGCTGTTGGGGGGAATATTGGGCCCTGGCTCCTTTCTGGATCTTTGCTTTCCAGTTGCCATGAGGAGAGCAGCTTTCTCTGCCATACCTTGCCAGGGAGTCATGATGCATTGCACCACCTGGCCTCAGGCGATGCAGACATAAACCACATTTGTTTTGTATGACCAAAGCAAATCTTTTCCTTTACTGATGGACTTCAGTATTTGTCTCAGTAACAAAAGGTCATCAAACCCCTGCTCTTTAATGATTGGTTCAACTGTATGTACAATAAAATGCTGGCTCCATTTAAAGTATAACCCGCAGGAAATCTAAGCTCCGTAGACCCAGCTTCTCTGTTGTCTAGCTCCAAATTCCCAATATTTCCAATTTATAATAGAAACCCAATAAAATGAATGAACATTTGCCAGCTCTCCTTCCTCTTCAGCTGAAGAAGCCAACAGGGAAGGCATCAAATATGATTTTTTTAGGGAGATAAAACACTTAGAAATTTCTTTCAGAATTCATCTATTTCCTATGAAAAAGCCTGGCAACACAGAACTGGCTCCAACTCCTTTTAAAACTATGCATTTTAATTTTTCAAGACTGATCATCTTCAGATAAGAACAGCAGGGCCCCCTTCATGTTGATGTTCACGAGGACGGACGGCGTGAGGATGAAACTTGCTTTGAGGTCACTGTGTCCAGACTGTACTAAATAATGCCCAGAAATGCACAGGTTCTCAAATATTTGTTGAGAATTTTTGAGAAATTAAGCGAACCCAGGTGAAGTGTGAGTGCCCGGCACAGAATTAACACTTGGCAAACATGCACACGCCCCCTCCTTATCCCCACTGCCTCCATTGCTACTCGGGTTGTCTGACATTTACGGGTGGTTGGAGGGTGGCCACTTTTGGGAAAGACCTGGATTCAAATTTTGACTTTCTCATTTACTGATCCCTGGGGCTTAGGCCAAACTGCTTTATCAGTTTGGGTCCCACAAAGACCTGTGTTCAATTTCCCACGTTGCTGCAGCCTAGTGCATAACGCAGCTGCAACCGGGTGAGAATTGAAACCGCTAACTGGGCAGAGAAGCAACGCAACCAGCGCTTGTTAGCTCCCACCAGGGGCCGGCAGTTTCGCCGTCGCTAGACAGTCCAACCAGCCACGTCTGGTGCAGGTCAGCAAAGTAAAAAAAAAAAAAAAAAAAAAAAAAAAAAAATCCAGCAGAACACAGTTTAGACCCTCCCACTAACGGTCCCTCCGCCTCTAGCCCCGGGCGGTCGCAGGACTCTGGTTTCCGGTCTTCAAAGGACTACAATTTCCAGCATGCCCCCCGTGGGCAGTCTTTTCCGATGGATGACTACAAATCCCGGCATGCGATTCGGCTCACGACCAACTCAGATGACTGCATGAGATGACCCCGTTGCACGCCGGGAATTGTAGTTCAGTAGCCGTGGACACGCAGATGGGTGGGGAGCTGCCCGCCAGTTCTTGTCCGCTAAGGGGAATGATTCATAGAGTGTCAGGAGGGACAGTTCTGCTGGTGAAAGCCCACTCCGGACCTAAACTCTTCTCCAAGGCTGGTAGATCGATGAGAGTAGGCAGGGGCAGGGCCTGACCCCGTTGCTGGCGGCTCGTCAGGCCTCCATTAAGCCCTGGGCCTTGCAGGGGGAGGCCTCGAGGCGCCGGTTGCTGGGGGAGCGGTGACGTCTCGGGGTGAAAGTTGAGGGGCGGTGACGTACGGCCTGCCCGGGCGGAGGCTGGCGGGTTGGAGACTGGAGGGAGGGAGGGAAGGAGGGAAGGAAGGAAGCTGGGAAGGAGCGAGGTAGCGGGGGCGCGAGGCGTTTACCTGGGAGGCAGCGGCTGGGGCGCGCACAGCGGCCGCGGCTCCCCCGCACCTGCGGCCATGGATGAAGAGCGCGCCCTCTACATCGTCCGGGCCGGCGAGGCGGGGGCTATCGAGCGGGTCCTGAGGGATTACAGCGACAAGGTAAAGAGCTCTGGCCCCGGGCGTTTGCTGTCTCGCCCCGGGCCGCCCTCGGGGCTCGCACTTCGCATCCTTTCCCCCACCCCCCTCATTCCGGGGATGCGCATTGCTCTCCCCCGAAAACGTTTCCGGCTTGGGCATGCGTGTTTGTGCCCCCAACCTTTCCCACCCGTGCATCCTGCATCTCCCTCCCCCCCACTGTAGCGCCCACTCCTCCGATTCCTGGCCCAGCAGCCTGTCCTGTGGTCTTCTTCCTCAGCGTGCAAGTCACACCCCCAGAATCCATAGATGCGCATCTGCCCAGTGCTCCACTCTTGGATGCATAAAATGCATGCGGGGCTCTCACCTGTATACTGTAAAAATACATGCTTCTCTGCATAAACACGGCCCTTGACATACGAGCAACCATGGCAGCTCGTCATGTACCAGAACCATTGTATGGTTCTCCAGGCGTTGATGTCTTAAGTGTGATCCCCTTTGATCCTCAGAGTGTTTATAGGGTAGATGGTTTCAGCCTTCCCATTTTATAGATGAGGAAACCGAGGTGCAAAGGACTGAAATCACGCCCAAGGTCATGGACATATGTTGTAAGTGGTGGAAAATCCTACTCCTAATAATACCTGTTACTTGTATCGCCTTAACAGCTTTCTTATTCATTATCTCATTTAATCTTGACAGCGGTCCTATGAGGTATTATCTGTGTTTTGCAATGGAGTTTCTAGGTGGGTTAAGTAACTAGCCCAAGGTCATTCTTGGGAGCCAGAGTCTTCCCACCTAGGTCTTCCAACTCTCCATTCATTGTTCTATCAGTTTCCAGGGCAATGGTATCTTGTTGTAAATACCACTTCCTTCTCTGGAGAGTGTCCCTCCAGAACCGTTAGCTCTCCCTTGAGCAGTTTCCCTGAGTAAGTGGCCTACCTGGCTCCTTTAGTCAGTTTAGGGGACTAGGCTTGTCTGAGGATGATTGCTGCCTCTCTTCTGTGAAAACACACCAGCACCAGAGTACACCCTAGGTAACTGACATCTTATTCCTAGTTATCAGCTCCTCCTCACCTTCCGTCCTCTGTCCGCTGCTGCCCCTTATACTTCACAGTAGAAAATACCCCTCCACGGAGACACTCTGAAAAGACCCTTCGTTCCCACTTCATCTCCCCAACAACCTGGTGAACAAAGTGGGGACGGTCCTCATTTCACATACAGTAAAATTTAGGATGATAATTAGCCCCATATTCACACAACCAATGAAAAATGGAAGAGAGATTTGAGTCTAGCTGTCCAGCTCCAAGTCTAGGGCCTGTTTTTGCTGCGCTCCCTTCTTTGGGAGCATCCATGGGCTGTCTCCTTGTCACATCTTAGCCCCTTCACCTTCTGATCCGCTTTGGTGTTGAGCATACCTGCCTAATTTAGGAGAAACTCATTTCATGCGTAGGTGTACATATTTCGTAGATTGTATTATTTTAACTTGATTTATTATTGCTTTCCAGAGAAGATATGGGGGAGCCACAAGCTGATTTTCAGAAGGAAGTGTAATAATTTGGCGATTGTGTTGAGTTGACTAATGTTTATTTAGCACTTACTGTATACCAGATACCCAGCAATAATAGGGACTTTCTTTTACAGGGAAGGGAGGAGGAAAGACCTACACTGGGATCTTAATCTAGTAGTCACTGTTTTGTGACTAAACCAATTAGCTCCCATGTTTATTTGCTTCCTCTAGCTTATCCCTTCCTCTCCTTGATATCCCTTCAGGTTGGGTTCTTCCTGTCTCTCATGCCATGTCTTGTCTGAGCTTAGCTTCCCCTTTCATCCTGTAAACGTTTAAGGTGATGTCCTGAAGTGCTTCAGAGCCTTCCTGACACTGGCCAAGCCCAGCCCGAGAGCTCTGTTAGGAGACAGCACTCATGTTTACTGTTAGCTGTAGTAGGAAGAGTGGAGTTGGGCTGATTGGAACACACAGAAAACAGGTGACAGTTGTGTTACATTGCAGCACCATCCCTCAAAGGGAGAAACTGTGGGGGCATGAATAGGAAGGTGATCTATGATATCAGTAGTCAGGCAAGAAGAATAGTAATACACTGTCCAGATTTATGGTGGATGGCTCCACCCCAAGAAAATGGATGGGTAGATATCATGCCCTTCAGTTTTCTTATCTGGAAAGATGGATTTGATAATTTTTTAGAGTCAGAAGTGATTGTGGGGCAATGAGGAGCCCAAGCAGAAGAGGAATGGACACTGTTCATTGGCTGGAAGAGGAGGGCTCTTGATGTTACCTTTTTATAATAAGTTGGTCATTGCAAGTATAGCAGAAAGAAGATGGGGTCTGGCATCAGATGAGCCTTGGTTCTGATCTCGCATCTGCTGCTAATAGTTCATGACTGTGGATAAATTAGTTCAAGCCTGAGCCCCGGCTGCCCTGCCTGTAAAGGAGGGGTTAAAACACTGTTCTTTTTATTTCTCATGCAGTAGATTCAGTGAACTATAATGCCAAGCACTGAGCACAGTGTGCCTACGAAGTCTTCCCCGTTATGAGGAGCTGAAGGTCTGCATCCTTCATGAGGTGGTGTGGCCAGAGTGCCGGCTCTGGAGCCCAGCTCCCAGCACGCTGATCCTCAGTTTACTGTTTATGTGGCCAAGGCCAAGTGGCCCAACTTTGCTACACTCTCCGTTCTTCTGTCCAGCAAAACATGTGGCACTGAACTGAGGGAGCACAGTGAGATCTCGGGAATCTTCCCCACTCTGTCTTAGCCGCGGACTTCCAGGGTTATCATCATGGTTCATCCCTTACTGTTCAGAGCAGCCTTTGCTGTGTGTTTCCAGAATATGCCTGGTCTCTACTGTAGTGCAGACATTCGCTTCCAAACACTGACCTTTGCTATCTTAGAGACAGATCTCTATCCCAGAAAGAAGAAAAAAACCTATCTGTTTGTCAAGGGGACGTTGCTTCAGCAGGACAACAGTTCTTTAAATTAGAGTGGCTGTTTGGGTAGAAATGATGCAGTTCTTCAATCCTAGCACTTGGGAGGCAGAGGCAGGCGGATCTCTGAGTTCAAGGCCAGCCTGGTCCACAGAGATAGTTCCACGACAGCCAAGCTACACAGAGAAACCCTGTCTCAGACCCCTCTCCCCGTCCTACCACCTCCTCAAAGGAGTTGCTGTTTCTCACTCCTAAGTTGACCTATTAACATTTATTGAGTGCCTTGTAGGTACTGTGTATTTTCCTAAGAATTTACACACACAATTCCCTTATATTAGGAGTTAGAAGAGGGGTAGAAGTATTTTCATATTTCTTTAAATAGGAGATGGAGGTCCAGAATGACAGGGTGATTGCACACGGCTAGGAAGTGGCAGATGTGGTCTTTAGATTCCTTTCCCAGGTCAAAGTTACTTAAGATGCTGTCACTTATTCAGGTTCTCCAAGAGCTGGGAACAGGGAAGGAGGGAGGACTGCTGGTAGCCTTGAGCCCATCCTTTATGTGCTTGGAGAATGAGACTGCAGAAAACTCACATGGACACGGTTCTAGAAATACAGCCCTGCATTTGAATGGGGATTTAAATGTCCTGGCCCATGTAGGAGGATGTTTTGCTTTCCATTTTTGAGGCTGAGCTTTGACTTTGGGCTTGCCATAGGTTTTTGCATAGAGATATCCTTGTTACACATTGTACTTATTTCCAAATTGTTTTACAGTCTGTTTTGACTCCTAAAAAGTAGTCTTTGAGTGTACCTGTAGACATCAGTGTGTTAACCCCAAATTCTCTAATAGGTCAGCGTTTAGCAGAGACCATGCAGTAACAACAGAAGTGGCCATTTATTGAATAAATACCTACCATGTGCAAGGTGCCAGTTATAACATACAAACGCATAAGGAAACCTTAGGGATTGTAGAGTGCAGCCCGACCAGGGCTGCCCATAGTGTGCAGTCGAACTGGACTCAAATTTGAGGTTATCTGATGGCTGAGTTTGGGGGGGCTCTCCTAGGTGATAAAGCCTGCAGTCATGAGCCTGGTGTGTCACGCAGAGGTTCTAGTTTGTGGTCTTTAAGTTGAGCAATGATTTTACTCTTTGACTTATATTCCATTTGCTCCTGTTCTAGAAGTGAAATGTATAAGAACCTGGATGATAGTTCTCTTCCCGCCATTTGAGCTTTAGGAAGGGGAGCAAGGCAGCGGGAGCAGACGCTAAAGACCAGCCTGAGATACGCAGAAAGCCTTGCCTCAGAGAATGTGGGAAGGAGAGGTGTAGAGTGTTGGGTCTGATCTAGCTTGGGGGACTGAAGCTAGCTGCACATAAATCCAGCATCTTTGGGTTGAGTTTCTAAATAACTTGCTCCACTTAGAGTTTAACTTATAGTGCCTCCATGCTAGTATATTTTCTGATTAAATTAAACTTTCATGCTGACTAGATGGAACCTTTGAAAACATTATTTTTTTAAATGCTGCTTTTATTATTTAAATTTATTATTATTATTTTGATCAGTTTTGCTGTGAAAAAGCAACAGAAAAGTGAAAAATTGGCTCTTGCTACTATTCTGAATTGTCACTAAAAAATAATTCTATGTAGGAAATACTTAGAAGATATTTTTGTAACTTACTGAGTATCTTTCCAAACAAGAATAACTTTTTTTTTTTTACTGTCCTCTCCTTATAAATGCTAAAAACACATTTAGGAGAAGTATTAAGTTTTAACAACTAGACACATTTATTCCAAATAATTTGCAGAGTTAATATTTTATGTAGAATGACAAAAGCCAAGCCTTCTTGGTTTCTAAGTATAATTGTTTTCATTGATAGGGAACTTTTACTGAGCTTCCATTAGAACATTAGCCTGCTACCTCCTTATCTTTAATGTTAGGTTTCAGTCAACCCTGGGTCTGTAAATGCCTAAGAATAGCCTCAGATTCACGACCTCCTCTTCCCCTCTTCTCTTCTTTCCTCCCGTGTTCATTTATTCTTGAGATTCGTTATTATAAAGTAACCCCAGTGAGTCACATTTCTTTTAGTGGCTACACAGTATTTTATGAGATGGATACGATATGTTCAGTAGAAGATTTTGACACAGTTTTTCAGTGTTGTATGTTCTGCTTGCCTCTTTTACTATATAGAAAACACGGTCGTGAATGTGCTGACAGATAACTTTTCCTTCACTCTGCATGACTTCATTAGAATACACGCATAGGAGTAGGAGTTCTGGGTCAAATGGGGTAAATATTTTTGTGGCTTCTAGTATGTGTTGGCAGATCACTTCCCCTTTATTGGTTTGTGTCAAATGCTCCTGGATTACGGTGACTTGTGATGCCCCCTCCTCCATGGCTTTCTGCCTCACTCTTGCTTGCCTTGAGCTGGCCTATGCGCTGCTGCCCAAACCTCTCTTCCAGAATGCTGTTCATATTCCACCCCAGACCTCCCCAGTCACCTGCAGCCTGCTGCCATGCCAGATGTAAAGTTTTGCATCTTGCCCTTCTCTCTCACGTCACCTGTTTCAGTTGGTTTGATCCAGGTTTGAGTAGCCTCTTTGAGGTTTCCTTAGATGACCCTTGTCTCTTAGCCTTTTGTCTTCCGTTAACTATTTCTTACACTCAAATTGCTTCCCTCCCAACATTTCTTTTTTTTAAAAAATATTTATTTATTTATTTATTTATTTATTTATTTATTTATTTATTATGTATGCAATATTCTGTCT